CGTTCTGCTAATCCTCTGGTGGTTTTCTGGGTTACTTAGGCAGGTGTAGGTGGAATCTAAGTGATCAGCAGGACGCGCGGTGAGCCCAGCGTCCTCCTACGCCGCCATCTTCCCTCTCCTCTACAATGAGATTTTTAAAAACTATTAGCTTGGCAAAGATCAAAAGGTTTGATAAGACACTGTTGGCAAAAGTATGGGAAATATGCACTATCATACATTGCCAATGAACTTTTTTTTAAGTTTTATTTATTTATTTTGAGTGAGAGAGCATGAGCAGGGGAGGGGCAGAGAGATGAAGAGAGAGAATCCTAAGCAGGCTCTGAACTGTCAGCCCAGAGCCCAACTCAGGGCTCGAACTCACGAACCATGAGATCACTACCTGAGCCAAAATCAAGAGTGGGACACTTAACCAAATAGGCCACCCAGGTGCCCTGCTAATGAGCTTTTAAAATTAGTACAGCTTTCATGAAGAGAAATCTGGATATCTCTATAAAAAATGTTTTGATCTTTTCAAGTATATCTTTTCTTAGGAATTATTCTTACCAATATTCTTACAAGTGTGCAAAAGGAAACATATACAAGGATAATCGTTGTATTTCCCTATGCAGGCAGGGAGCTCCATTTGTTCACTAATGTCTTCCTGAGCATCTTGGAAGAGTTTCTTGGCCATAGTAGATGCTCAAGATATTTGGTGAATGAATGGAAGAATGATGAAATCTTGGCTATTGCCATTTATAAAGTACATGTTAAATAAATATAGTAGTACTCCCATACAAGGGACCACTAGACAGCCACTTAAAAAAATGAAACAGCTCTGACATCTGAAACTAATGTAACAATGAGTGTCAGCTACACGTCAGTTAAAAAAAAAAAGCCAACATTCTCTGTGAAGAAAACATGGTCCTCCATTAAGAGAATCCTACAAACCACAGTCTTTGATGTCCTTGTAAAATATCTCTGATATCTCTCTGAGAAATTGTTTTCTTTTGGAAACATGAACTATGACCTCTGAGTCCTTAAAAAGATAAAAATAAAAATGAGGCAGCCTATATATGTCAGTATGGAATGGTCTTTAAAATAAATTGATAAGTAAAAAAAGAAAGTTGCAAAATGGTATATAAACTGTACTACATTTATGTGTGAAAATACTATATACACAGATGTGGTTATACTTATAGACTATCTCTGGAAGTTTATACAAGTAAAATGGTAAACAGTTCTTGCATCTAAGAAAGGGATTAATTGAGGAATAGGGATTGGAGAAACTTACTTTTTGTACCATGGATATGTATTAAAATATCTTTTTAAATGGGGAAAAACTAAAGGTACTTTCAAGCGTGCAAAGACTAAGGGAATTTATTACACATGACTACATTTACTAAAAGAATACTTCCACAAGAAATAAAGTGATCCCAGAGGGAAGGACTAGAATGTAAGGGGAAAACTCTGATAAGAAAAATAGCTATGTTTGTAATTTAATTATTGATTATTAAAATAGCTATTTCCAGTGTATTTTTAATATCTTCAATTACAGAAAAACAATAACCCAGCAGATAGGGTAGGATTATCAGGTGAATACTTAAAAAATGAGGGAACCATTCTTCACTTGTCCAGGAGCAGGATCCTTTATCTCCCAGGCTCTACAATAGTCATTTTAGTGATTTGTTTGCTCCCACTCAATTTCTTCCCATCTATCCAATGGTTCAGTAATGACTCAGGATAAACTCTGAGTTCCTTAGCATGTCATATAGCAGGGGTAAGCAAACTTCTGTTTAAAGGGCAGGGTAGCAAACATTTTAGGCTTTGTGGGTCATATGTATAGCGTCTGCTGTAACCACTCAACTCTGCCATATGTGAAAACAGCCATGGCCTAAAGTAAATGAATTAGTGTGGCTATTCCAATAAAACTTTACTTATTACAAACAGACAGGTAAGCTGAATTTGACCTATGAACCGTAGTTTGTCAACCTCTTGCATATAAGATCCTTCTTAAACTTGCTCCAAACTGTAATTGCGGTCACTCTCCTTCATGCTTTTTAACCTGGCAATACTAAATTTAATATAGCCATATCAAATTTATTTTTATAAAAAGGTAGTGTATGTATTAATGAACATAATTGTAAATAGTAATGCTATATGTAATACTTCTAAACCTGATCCCTAAATGAAGTTAATTCATATTTACATTTTTATGCTATGTGTATGCAATGTAAGTACTTCTAGTCATCCATTACCAATTGGTGTCCTACAGCTTATGAGAAAGGTGTCCTTCATTAAAGGAAATCACTACTCCTCCTAATCTTATCCTACTGGGGAAGAATTCTAGACTCCTTCCGAAGTTAAGTGTGGATAAAGGGCTATTTTCATTATGGCTGAAAAAGAATAATCACCTCCCTCTCCCCAACTTTTTCTTAACTATGCAGGGTTCAGAAATTTGATGTCTGGTCAACCCTAGAAAATGAGGACTAAAATGTGATGTTTCTTATATTCCAGTATCAGGGGAAAAATTCATACTGGTTGTAGAAGTCACGAGCAACATGAAAGAAAAGGAATGGTGGATGCAGAATCCAGAGTGTTGTGGTGTGAAAAGTGAAAAAACTTGGCAGGTAATAGAGTGAAGTTAGGCTTTCAGTAAATGTAGCTGTGAGAGAAGTAGAGTAATGCAATGTAAAATCAGTTCACCCCCTGCCCCAGTGAAAAATGGGGTCAACTGGATACTTGTAAATATAAGAGATATTTTAATTTGTTTATATTCTTAGTACAAATGAATAACAGAAAGAAACTGATGATAAAAACAGAAAATTGGCATGGCTGAAGGAAAAGGACCCAGAGGCTCAGGATGGAATGGGAGTTAAAATACACATACAGGTGTTAGCCTTAGATTCAAGGCAGATACCTCTACTAAAGAAAGGTCAGAGAAATACATGTGTAAGTGGGAAATCAAGAAAATGAAAGAGTTCCTGCCTCATACCTCTAATTGCTCTTACAAGGCCATGTGAGGCGAATGTGAGGGAAGAAACATAGCACACCTGAAGACAATAGAATTTAGAGTAAATCCAAAAGAAAAAGGAGAATGTTAGACTTTATACATGAGTATGTGGGTGGTGTGTATGTGTGTGTGTGTGCACGCATGTGTGTGCACATGCACGCCCATGCTAGCAGACACACCAGTGCCTCTCAATGTACATACTCGTGGCTGAGGTTGAGAAACCCTAAACTGGGCTTTATTTGTCAGATTTTGCATCATGCCTTATGCTCTGCCTAGAAATGTTTCTGCATCCCCACTTCCAAATCACAGCCAGCCTTCAAAGTCAGCACCAGATCTCAAATGACTCTGATGCTGCAGCATCCCCCATGTGCAGTGAGCAGTCCCAGGCTCCCTGAGGTCTTTCCTCATGCTCATCTCCCAGGGTTATCTTGGCAAAGAGATGGCCAAAGAGAATAGGGCTTGAGAAATATAAGACTCGTACAAACTGGTCAGGAGCTCTTCTCAGGATTCAGGTAGGTTACTAGAGGAAGACTGACAAGAGTTAATGACTTTTAGCAAGGCCCAGAAAGTCCCAGTGCTGAGAATGCAAGCCCTTTGGGCATTAGCTAGAGCTGATCCCACAGGCTCTGATCCTAGAAAATGTCAGGATATAAAATTGACTTTGCCCAAGGCCTAGCTAGAGCACTGTCTCATCCCACTTGCCCAACTGTGGTGGTGGTGGGTGGGGGGAGACAGGCAATCTGGTTCAGAATCCCAAATAGGAGCCAGATTTAGAACAATCCAGCTCAGCAATAGGAGTGAAAAATGTCCAATATTCATGGGTTTGTATAACTGGGAGGAATCCGGGTCTGACCCAGATTCCTCATGGTATTGAAAAAGAAGTAAAGTCAAGCGTAAGAGAAATACATTGCCTAAAGTAAATAAGTAGACCAGTTTCTCCCCCTGGGAGTAGAATCTCATGAGATGTTCATCTATGTGCACTTCTGTCCATCTGGGATCTCTCTATCTCCTCTGCTCATGTCCCTGGTCCCTGACACTAAAGCACGTCTTCTTTTGGCATGAAGGAGTTGTCAGGACGGCATTGTCTCAAATATATGCCATAGGAGGAGTAAAGGAAACAGGAGTCCTTCTCATTCCCTGTTGCCTGACTTTCACTAAGTGTTCTAAGGTCTTATGGCTTTAGGGATAGCAAGAGATTATTAAGTTGTATTCCTTGTCTCCAAACAAGAATAATCTGCAGAGAGAACAGACTGGGAGTTCAATCTCTTAGCAAATTTCAGAGGTGGAGATTTCCCCCAATGATGCCTTTGCTGTAATTGTCAGAACTAAGAATGAGAAAGGAAGTCTTCTTGATCTTAAAAGGCAATGCCACTAACCACAAATATTCCCACATAAGGGCACAGCTCACCCTTCTTTTTTTTTTAAGTTTATTTATTTATTTTGAGAGAGAGAGAAAGTACAAGTTGGGGAGGGGCAGAGAGAGGAGAGAGAGAGAATCCCAAGCAGGAGCCGTACTGTCAGTGCAGAGCCCAATGTGGGGGCTTGAACTCATGAACCGTGAAAAGTCAGACACTTAACTGACTGAGCCTCCCAGGCACCCCCAACAGCTCACCCTTCTTACTTTCTTCCTATTCCCTCTTTTAGTGGTCAGTTCCTTTCCATGAAAGCTCCCAGAACAGTTTCTCCAGAAATTTGTCTTCAACCACTTAAAAGTCTTCTTAAATAAGTTCATGTCAAACACATGAAACAGATATAATTGTTCCATTTTAAAGATGTGAAAAATTGTCCTTCAGAAGGTTTAAGTTCATACAGCTTTCAGTTCTCAGGTCCAGCTTTTTAATTCTAAACACAGTGCTATATTTAAGACATAGCTATGTAGTCCTCTAAGCATACCTTAAATGGCTCAAAAAATATGTCATCCCTCTGCTGGCTGTGTTGTGGTAGGAGGAGCACTGGACTGAGAGCAGAGTGTTCTGGTTCATTCCTAGCTGTTCTGCTGATCAGCTGTGTGATGCAGAGCAAGTCCCCTCATCTCGGTGGGCCTTCATCTCCCTGCTAGAGATGCTATGAGAACCTGACCTCGTGGGCCTGAAGACAGAGCAAGCTTGTCTGTGGCACATCCACCCTTTCCCACACACATTTCTCCAGTTTTGCAGTATGAACTTAGAGTGACAGGTTACTCTTGAAGGATCTTGAAATGTTTGGGAAGCCCTGTGCAATCTGTAGTAACATTTTCCAAGTCCTTTCTTCACATCTTTACCCAAAATTGAGACAATGAGAGGATGAGTTCTCTACTCCTTGGCTTTAGGACCCAAACCTAAATATAAAAACACTTGCAACTCAATTGTCTGTTTTCTGAAACAGTTTCACTTGATGCCTCACATTTGTTGGTTCTCATAACTATACTCTTAAGGGTCAAAGTGTGTAGTTTGATTTAGGTTCCAAAGATGTTTGCTATATTCACTGACAGAATTAATGAGAGGGCCAAAGGGCAGAAACTCTGAAAGTCACTGTTATTAGTTGCCTAGGGCTGATGTAACAAAGTACCAGCAACTGGCTTAAAACAACAGAAATGTATTGTCTCACAGTTCTAGAGGCTGGTGTAAGTAGGACCACTCCCCCCTGCTAAAACTTGTATGGAAAAATCCTTCCTTGCCTCTTCCTAGCTTCTGGTGGTGGCTGTTAATCACTGGGATCCCTTGGCTTGCAACTGTATCACCCCAATCTCTGCCTGTGTTGTCACATGGCTGCCTTCCCTCTGTGTGTCTGTTTTCACATGGTACTCTCCTCCTCCTTATAAGGACACCAGTCATATTGGATTAAGAGCCCATCCTATTCCAAAATAAGATAATCTTAATTTACCACATCTGCAATTATCCTAATTCCAAGTAAGGTAACATTGTGAGGTGCTGGGGGTTAGGACTTCCAACATATTTGGGGAGTGGGGATATAATTCAACTCATATCTATCACAATTGGAAATACTCAACTTATTTACCTTTTCTGTTGTTAAGCTGAAAGGAGTATTTCCTGAGAAGTTTTAGGGTGTGGGAGTGATAATCTGATTACTAAAGACTACTCAGATTCTGTAATACAGTTGATTTCTTTCTAGGGTTGGAATTTATAAACAGCCATGGATAACTTCACTTTCTTCACTGAGTTCATCCTCCTCGGGCTGTCTGCTGACTGCCGCATCCAGACTCTGCTCTTTGTGGTGTTCCTAGGGATTTACCTCCTGACCCTGGTGGGGAATCTGGTGATGATCCTGGTGATCAGAGGGGATTCTCACCTCCACATCCCCATGTATTTTTTCCTTGGACATCTGTCCTTCCTAGATATCTGCTTCTCTTCAGTTACTATGCCCAAAATGCTACAGAACTTCCTGTCTCAGAAGAAAAGCATCTCTGTGTGGGGCTGTATCACCCAGAGTTTCTTTTTTCTTCTCTGTGGGTGTGCGGAAGCCAGTCTGCTCTCTGCCATGGCCTATGACCGCTATGCTGCCATTTGCCACCCTCTGCTCTATACCATGGTCATGAACAGGCCTCTCTGCATGGTAATGGTCAGTGCAGCATGGGGAATAGGGGTTCTGAACTCACTGGTAAATAATCTTTTCATCCACAAGTTACATTTCTGTGGGTCCAACATCATCTTCCACTTCTGCTGTGAGCTGCCCTCACTTTTCCCTTTGTCATGTACTGATCCCACTGCCAACAAGTTCCTTCTGTCAGGGTCCAGTGCATTTCTAGGGCTGATGACGCTTCCCCTGATCCTCTTCTCTTACTCCAGAATAATTTCTGCCATTCTGAACATCCGCTCCTCTGAGGGCCAAGCCAAAGCCTTCTCCACCTGCTCCTCCCACCTCACCGTGGTGCTCTTGTTCTATGGGACGGCTCTATTCAGGTACATCAGCCCTGCCTCAGGCTCAGTGTTGGAGCGCGTGGTCTCCATTCAGTACAGTGTGATCACATCCTTGTTGAACCCCCTCATCTACAGCCTCAAGAACCAGGAGGTGAAGGCTGCTCTGCAGAGGATGCTGAGGCAGTAAATGCACTCCTCAGATGAAGGATTCTCTGTGTGGGGTTCAGTCAAAGAATGGGGAGGAGAGATCTTCAGAAATACCTGGAGAGGATAAAAGACATTTGAGGTCAGTGGTTCTCTAAGTGTCATCCACAAGTCGGCATCAGCAGCATCTGTGAGCTTGCTAGAAAGGCAGATTCTCAGGCCCAACCACTAATCTATGGAATCAACAGTAGAGCTCAACGATCTATGTTTTAGTCAACTAGGTGAGTGTGAGAAGTATGAGGAAAAAAATGTTCTAGGACAGCTAATGTGTTTGAGAAACTTGCCTTTGGTGAAAGACAAAATATTGACATCTCAAAATGTAGAATCTCTTTTCAATGGGAGAGTTGGTCTGTCAAGTAGTCAAGATGAGAACATTTGATTGTGTGATCTTATGATCACACCTTCTGCAAGACTGGGAAAGAGAAAAATGAAAATCTACATTATTTTAAGACCTTACCACTTGTTGTGATGAGCACTGGGTGTTGTATTGAAACTAATTTGACAATAAATTATATTAAAAAAAAAAGACCTTGGAAAGAGGGGAAGAGCTCCACTGAAGGCAGACCAGCCCATTCCCTCCACCACCATTTGGGAGCGTCATTCTAAAAGGTTCTTCGGAAGCTAGCACAGCATAAAGCCAAGGGACAGATGTCCCAGAACAGTGACTCACAAGCGCTTCCTCCACCTCACCTGAGAGCACCTGAGGTCATCAAATAGGCAGTGTTCCTGGTTAGTGGTCACTAGTTTGTCTTAGAGAGTAAAGACAGCCTGAGGCTATGGTGGAAGCAATAGACCAGATGAACTGGAACTTCCTATGTACTTTCACTGAGAACTCCTGCTTCCTGACCTGGTTGCCCTGGGCCATGCTGTCAGGAGCTCTGGGGGCTGAGTTCTTGCTTCTTTACGTTTTGTCACAAGACTACATTTTCCATATTCTTCCTAAGGGTCTGCATGCCCTCTCAATCTTTATTTTTATCTTTTTATCTTTCACTTAAGAAATAGAGCATTCCCAGAGCCTTAGGAGCTCCATGTGTGGCCCCCATCATATCACTCTTTCCTCTCCCCAGAGGTAACTATTGTCCTGAATTGCACAGTACTTGGTACTCATTCCCTTGCTTTTATTAAAAGTTTGCCACTTACTTGTGATCCCTAAATAAGACTGGTGAGTTTTGCCTGTTCTTGAAATTCATATGAGTAGAATCATGCTGTAAGTTTTTTTCTATGACTTGCTTCTTTCACTTAACATGATTTATTCTTGTTTTTAGGTATGTCTTCATAAGCAGCATAGAGCTGCATTTTTATTATTTTATCCAGTCTGAAAATTATTTAAAAAGAAGAGTTAAACCAACAATTGTTACAATAGTTACTTGTGTGTTCAGATACATTTCTGTTTCCCACTTCTTCTGTAACTTCCTTTTATTTCTTTCCATTTTTCCCTCTCCTTGTCTATTTTTTGAGAGCTATCCTAGTTTTCTTTTTTTTAAATATACTAATTTTACTAAACAAAATCTAAAGTCAGTATCTTTATCCTCTTCTAAAACAATATAAAGATAATAAAACACTTTTTTTATTTTTTTATTTTTTTTATTTTTTTTTAAATTTTTTTTTTTCAACGTTTATTTATTTTTGGGACAGAGAGAGACAGAGCATGAACGGGGGAGGGGCAGAGAGAGAGGGAGACACAGAATCGGAAACAGGCTCCAGGCTCTGAGCCATCAGCCCAGAGCCCGATGCGGGGCTCGAACTCCCGGACCGCGAGATCGTGACCTGGCTGAAGTCGGACGCTTAACCGACTGCGCCACCCAGGCGCCCCGATAATAAAACACTTTAACTCCAAGCAACACCATCCCAAATTTATATGCCACTAAAATCCAGTATTTTAGTTCTAAAATTTCCCCCACAAATTAGACATTATCATTACTATTTTAATCAGTCAGCTTTTTTAAATTTACCCATATATTTATTATATCTTGGCTCACTATGTCTTTTTAAAAAATGATATGGTTGTTATATATATAGTATTTACAGTTGCTGAAGAAACTTAATTTATGGAAAATATATTTGTAAAGGTACAATTATAGACAAAATACAAAATTATATATAGCACCATAGTGATATTTTATAACCTAAAGGAAAAATAAAGGAGATTTTAAATGATTTGTATTTTTACTATACATTCTATAGATCTCTATACCTTACTAAATTGAAAAAAACACTTTGTTTTATAGTATAAGATTAGAGGTTATTGTATCAATATTGCCTGTGCCTGCCAGTAAAACATACTAGAATTACCAGCTACAAATATTGACTTTTCTGATAAAACTTATCATTACTTTCGGGATTGTTTTATTAAACCGTAATGCTTGGGATCTGTTATTAAACCATAATACTTGGGGAGAACCTGGGTGGCTCAGTTGGTTAAGCATCCGACTTTGGCTCAGGTCATGATCTCCCATTTCGTGAGTTCAAGTCCTGCATTAGGCTCTGTGCTGAGAAGCTCAGAGCCTGCTTTGGATTCTGTGTCTCCCTCTCTCTACCCCTCCAGTACTCATTCTCTGTCTCTCTCTCAGAAAAATGAATAAACATTTAAAAACATTTTTTAAAACCATAATACTTGGGATCTGTGTGTATTTTTTGTAGAAGGGACTGAAAATACTTTGCAAATATTGAATAACGTTTTGGGTACCAGTGACAAATGACACATTAATAATTTATTCCTATGACAGTACCCACCAGCACACTTGCACTTGAGACCCTAATGAAATGCAGGCAAACTCACCATGCCTTTCTGCGTCTCAGATCTTCCATTAGTGGTCATTTTCTCATGCCCACATTTGGTCCTTTAGAATTCTCTGTGTCAGTCTGTTAGTGATGAACTGTTTTTGTTTGCCTGAAAATTACTTTATTTCTTGAAAGGTAATTTTTCTGGCCATAAATTTCTAGATTGTAGCTTGAGTTAAGTTCTATTCTCTAGAAAGTATATATATTTCTTTCTACCTGTTACCTTTGAGTCAGCCCCACTTCAAATTAAATTCTCTGCTTGACGTGTTTCTGAGCACACACACAGACAGCATGAATTCAGACTTCACACTTGCCTGAGCACCAGGCATGAATAAGCACCAGGTTATGAATTTTCAGGAAATATCCTCTTCTTCCTTTATCCAACTTTAATGTCAAAAGGGGTAATTTTCTCATGGCCCTCATCCCCATGGTAGATTATTTCTTATTTATGCTTCCACTGAGATTGTAGCACCTTATTTCTTTTTATTTGTTATTTATTTCTTAATATAATTTATTGTCAAGTTAGCTAACATACATTGTATACAGTGTGCTCTTGGTTTCAGGGGTAGATTCCCATGATTCATCGTTTACATACAACACCCAGTGCTCCTCCCAACAATTGTCCTCCTCAATGCCTGTCACCCATTTTCCCCTCTCTCCTGCCCTCCCCCCACCCACTATCAACCTTCAGTTTGTTCTCTGTATTTAAGAGTCTCTTACAGGCTTGCCTTACTCTCTGTTTGAAACTATTTTTCCCCTTCCCTTCCCCCTTCTGTTAAGTTTCTCAAGTTCCACATATGAATGAAAACATTTGATATCTGTCTTTCTCTGACTGACTTATTTCTCTTAGCATAATACCCTCCAGTTCCATCCACGTTGTTACAAATGGCAGGATTTCATTCTTTTTCATTGCCAAGTAGTATTTCATTGCATATATAAACCACATCTTCTTTATCTACTCATCAGTTGATGGACATTTGGGCTCTTTCCATGATTTGGCTATTGTTGAAAGCACTGCTATAAACATTGGGGTAAATGTGCCCCTGTGGATCAGCACTCCTGTATCCTTTAGATAAATTCCTAGTAGTGCTATTGCTGGGGTAAAGGGTAGCTCTAGTTTTAATTTTTTGAGGAACCTCCACACTGTTTTCCAGAGTGGCTGCACCAGTTTGCATTCCCACCAGCAGTGCAAGAGGGTTCCCATTTCTCCACATCCTTGCCAACATCTATTGTTTCCTGAGTTATTAATTTTAGCCACTCTGACAGGTGTGAGGTGGTATCTCAGTGTGATTTTGATCTGTATATCCCTGATGATGAGTGATTTTGAGCATCTTTTCATGTGTCTATTGGCCATCTGGATGTATTCTTTAGAAAACTGTTTATTCGGGGTGCCTGGGTGGCTCAGTCAGTTACGGGTCTGACTCTTGGTTTCAGCTCAGGTCGTAATGTCACTGTTTGTGAGTTCAAGCCCTCTGTCGGGCTCTGTGGTGACAGCATTGAGCCTGCTTTGGATTCTCTCTCTCTCTCTCTCTCTCTCTCTCTCTCTCTTTCTCTCTCTGCCCCTCCCTGTTCTCTCTCTCTCTCAAATAAATAAACTCAAAAAAATTTTTTTAAAGTGTCTGTTCATGTCTTCTGCCCATTTCTTCACTGGATTATTTGTTTTTTGTGTGTTGAGTTTGGTAAGTTCTTTATAGATTTTGGATACTAACCCTTTATCCAATATGTCATTTGCAAATACCTTCTCCCATTCTGTCAGTTGCCTTTTAGTTTTGTTATTTCCTTCACTGTGCAGAAGCTTTTTATCTTTATGAAGTTCCAGTAGTTCATTTTTGCTTTTATTTCCCTTGCCTTCAGAGACACATTGAGTAAGAAGTTGCTGCGGCTGAGGTCAAAGGTTGTTGCCTGTTTTCTCCTCTATGGTTTTGGTGGTTTCCTGTCTCACGTTTAGGTCTTTCATCTATTTTGAGTTTATTTTTGTGTGTGGTGTAAGGAAGTGGTTCAGTTTCATTCTTCTGCATGTTGTGTAGCACCTTATTTCTAACAATTACATAATTCTTGCTCTGTACCAGGCATTCTAAGAATTTTATGTATATTAACTAATTTAATGCTCTGAACAACACTATGAGATAGGTACTATTATTTTCCTCATTTTACAGACTTAGAAACTGATGCACAGAGAGGAAAAGTGACTTTCCAAAAGTCAGTGGGAGAGCTGGGATTTAAACCCAGGCAGTTTGGGTACAGAGTCTATGCTC